GAAGACCAAATCGAAAAACTACCCCACCCAAACAAAAACACGATTTGAGCCGGAGGCTTGCTAGGATTGTCAGCACTGTTGAGCTCTGAAGGAATCCATCGAACTGCGCATGCAACGTTCCTGGCCAAGAGGTATGCAGTGAATCGCCTGATTTGGAGTAGCAGCCGAAAATTGCGTGCACGAGATCTGTCAAAAGATAAACACACTGCCATATTGTCTGTGAGCATCAGTTGACGAATGTCATGTCCGAATACACTGAGAGCAATACGACGAAGGCCTTTGACCAGCGCTCGCGCTTCTAGCTCCAATATGTCAGCCTTATGCTCCCACTTTCCCCAGAGGCAAGGTCGCCAACTGTCTGCATGTAAAAGGTGACCCGGTACCTCTTTGAAGCCCTTGTTGAGGGCCCAGCCTGATTGCTCAATGAAGGTCTCAGAATCGATGTCTCCGACCTCCCAAGCATTAGTGATGGCATCTCTGGTGAAGCCCGCAGCGGATAGAGCCGAGTCCCGAGCTGAGTGTGATCCAAGCTTCCGGAAGCGGCTCCTCTCCATCACGCGACCCACTTGAGCTACTTCCTCACGATGCCAAACGGAGGAGGCAACCCCAAAGCAGTCACATAGTCGTTCCAGGGCCGAGGCCAGTCCGCGCGCAAAAAGATCATGAGACCTCTGAAGGCGATCAGCTCATCACGGACAGCCCACAACTTAGATGGCTTCGTGTAGCTGCTGTTTATGAAGCGGTAGACTGTGTTGAACACGCGGAGGACGGGGCGGTTCATGAGGCCGGCAAAGGTAGCATGCCCAATGAGAACTTCGAGTAGTCGACCTGAGACGCGCTTCCGGTTCAGCACTCCTTTTATGGCTTGATGAAGTCGGTGATAGCGCTCCGGTGTAACGCGGCTTGCCCGAAGATCCCCCCTTATCAGAGGTCGACGCCCAACGCTCTCGTAGACCCTGTACTGATTTGACCTGGGTGGAGAACTAGGTGATGAGAATTGAAGACCGTCTCAACCTCCTCTACCGAGTCCCGATTAATGCTGAGAATTCCCAAATTGTCCACGTATACGTAGTGATGCACTGAGCAGACGGCGCTGCCTTGGGAGTCGGGGCTCTGGGAAGATTCGAGTACCACGGCCTCACAGCGATCATGCACTAGAAGTGTTCTGCAGCCTGAGCCACTTCGCTGGCACAGGGTCGAGGCAAAAGTATTGGGAGAGCCATTTGGGTTGCCGAAGGCGGTGGAAGCAATCACGAACGTCGCTGAGAGCAACACTGACCCGAAGCCTCTCCAAGTAAGCGTCATACTCAGTCGTACCTGGCGGAATATGGTCAGGAACCTTTAGCTCCACCCGGCTGAAGCCGTCGGATGTCAAAAGGTCCACACCTGGGGGGCGTTAGTACCTCGGGAGTCCAAGATCAGCCGAATCTTTTGGCCGTCACTTTTCTTCACAAAGAACGCCCACAATAACCCTTGGGATTGAGAGTGTAGGTCAGGTAACCAGCCTTGTCGAGCATGAGGAGGAACTTCCTGTAGAGCTTGGTGTTGCGCCTCAAGGAGGGATCCCAATATGGCTCAAAATCTGCCAGCGTCTGGCTTAAGCATTTGCTCAGGGCACTGCAGGTATCGACGGGCCTCCCCATCCAGAAGTTCCTCCACTCGAGGTGCGCCATCGAGCGAAGCAGGAAGGGAGATGCGCTCGAGCGAGCAGGCTGCCAATGTTGTCGGCACGTCCGAGGAGTACTCGGAGCGGCCTCGGAGCAGCTCCCTAAGGGCTGCCTCCGGTGTCGGGACCACATCCAGGGTTCCTTTGTCCTGGCAAAGTCCGGACAGAAAATGGATCCGCCTCAGTACGTCGCACTGCAAGGGATCAGGTTCAAAATCTGGGTTTTTGGGCTCGTGCTGCCCCATAACCAATTAAGAGCTTTGACGGCTTCCCAGCTCCGCTCCTGAACATGCATTCTCCGGGCCGACGTCTGTGCACATCTTCGGCTAACGCCAGCTACGGTGTCGACCGCGGCGGGCATAGGCAAGGGAAAGCAATCTCTGGCCCCAGAAGAAAAGCTCGGCCCCTGCCCCGGAAAAAGGCCTGTAGGTCACCGGCTGTGAATTCGCCCACGACCACGGCCCTTGGCCTTGGCTTTGGCTTTGGCCCCGCTCCCTGGTCTTGACATCCCCTTTCAAACCCTCCAAAAGGTCTAGGCCAGGTGACTCAGGGTTCGCTGAAGGAATTTCCAAGAGGCCTCCCCGCGTCACGCGCCGGGGCACAAAGTCGAGCGACCTTCAGCCATCCTTGGGGACGGTGTCATAGCCAAGCTCGTCTAAGGCCGCCTCGATTTAGCCGCGCATGTCCGCCTCAGAGGGTTCTGTCGCGAAGCGGTGCACCGGGGCTCGCAATCGAGAATAGTATGTCACCTGACGGCCCTTGATTCGGAATTTGGATGGGCCATTGTCACCTCCTGTCAGGGAATAGTCCTGTAAGTCTGGAGTGAGCACAACCCACCCGTGTTCCGCGGCCCCACGCCATATGAGAATGCGTTCATGCCATCGATCGTCATCCTCGTAGAAGTCAATCAGTCGGTCGCCTGGAAGGCAGGATTGTAACTCCTCTGGGCTGGCGTCCTGTGACGCCATGATGCGATGGTGAGCTTGCGGCAGTGGCCCGCCGACAGGATAGGCAAAGAACTAAACTGTGTGTCAGCAGACTTCCAATCAGCACAATGGAAACCAGAGGTTCGTCTGATTTAGCGCAATCACAGACACACTGGCACTCTACGTGAGTTTCCGATGGTTGGGACTTCAAGGCCGGTTCCTTAAGCCCCACCTCAACTATCCTGAAGGCCAGCGCCGTAAGCAAAGCTTCCAGTCTCATGGCACTCTACTCTTGCACTTGAGACGAAATTTCACATCACATCATGCTTCTGCTTTCCAGTCTTGCCAAGCACGCTCTCACAAACCCGTCAGCCAGGATTGGGGGTAAAGTTGTTGGGGCTTGCGGGGGCTTGCTAGGGCAGCTGGCGACGTCTCACAAAAAGCCAAACCCGTCAGCCAGGATTGGGGTAAAGTTGTTGGGGCTTGCGGGGGGTTGTTGGGGCAGCTGGCGACTTCTCACAAAAAAGCTAAACCTATCAGCCAGAATTGGGGTAAAGTTGTTGGGGCTTGCGGGAGGGTTTGTTAGGGCAGCTGGCGACTTCTCAAAAAAAGTCAAACCCCTGGCGACTTCTCACAAAAAGCCATACCCGTCAGCCAAGATTGGGGTAAAGTTGTTGGGGCTTGGGGGGCTTTGTTACGGCAGCTGGCGACTTCTCACAAAAAGCCAAGCCCGTCAGCCAGAATTGGGGTAAGTTGTTGGGGCTTGCGGGGCTTTGTTACGGCAGCTGGCGACTTCTCACAAAA